AGGCTAAATAATATGCTATTAAACAACCAATGGATCACTGAAGAAATCAAAGGAAATTTTAAAAAAATAGCTAGAGACAAATGAAAATGAAAACACGATGATCCAAAACCTATGGGACACAGCAAAAGCAGTTCGAAGAGGGAAGTTCATAGCAAAACAAGCTTACCTTAGGAAACAAGAAAAATCTCAAATAAACAACCTAACCTTACACCTAAAGCAACTAGAGAAAGAAGAACAAACAAAATCCAAAGTTAGTAGAAGTAAAGGAATCATTAAGATCAGAGCAGAAATAAATGAAATAGAGACTAAGAGAACAATAGAAAACATCGATAAAACTATTAACAAAAGCTGGTTCCTAGAAAAGATAAACACAATTGATAAACCTGTAGCCTGACTCATCAAGAAAAAAAGGAAAAGGGCCCAAATCAATAAATTAGAAATGAGAGACTACTCCAAGCAACTATATACCAATAAAATGGACAACCTAGAAGAAATGGACAAATTCTTAGAAAGGTACAATCTACCAAGATTGAACCAGGAAGAAATAGAAAATATGAACAGACTGATCACAAGTGCTGAAATTGAATCTTGTGATTTTAAAACTCCCAGAAAACAAAAGTCTAGGACCAGATAGCTTCACAGGCGAATTCTACCAAACATTTAGAGAGGAGATAACACCTACACTTCTGAAACTATTCCCAAAATTGCAGAGGAAGGAACACTTCCAAACTCATTCTATGAAGCCATCATCACCCTGATACCAAGAACAGACAAAGGTATCAGAAAAAAAGAAAATCAGGCCAATATCATTGATAAACATAGACGCAAAATCCTCAACAAAATACTAGCAAACCGAATCCAACAATACATTAAATAATCAAGTGGGATTTATCCCAGGGATGCAAGGATTTTTCAATATCCACAAATCAATCAGTGTGATACACCACATTAACAATTTGAAGAATAAAAACCACATGATCATCTCAATAGATGCCGAAAAAGCTTTTGACAACATTTAACATCCACTAATGATTAAAAACGCTCTAGAAAGTGGGCATAGAGGGAACATACCTCAACCTAATAAAGGCCATATATGACAAACCCACAGCTAACATCATACTCAACAGTGAAAAGCTGAAGGCATTTCCTCTAAAATCAGGAACAAGACAAGGGTGCTCAATCTCACCTCTTATATTCAATATAGTCTTGGAAGTCCTAGTCACAGCATTCAAAGAAGAAAAAGATATAAAAGGAATCTAAATTGGACAGGAAGAAGTAAAAGTGTCACTGTTTGCAGATGACATGATACTATACATAGAAAATCCTGAAGACACTACCAGAAAACTACTAGAGCTCATCAGTGAATTTGGTAAAGTTGCAGAATACAAAATTAACACACAGAAATCTGTTGCATTTCTATACACTAACAACAAAAGATCAGAAAGAGAAATTAAGAAAACAATCCCATTTACCACTGCATCAAAAAGAATAAAATACCTAGGAATAAACCTACCTAAGGGGGCTAAATACCTGTACTCCAAAAACTATAAGACACTGATGAAAGAAACTGAAGAAGACACAAACAGATGGAAAGAGTATATATATATATATGTATATATATACTGGTTTCTTAGGCTAGAAAAATTAATATTGTTAATATAATCATACTACTCAAGGCAGTCTACAGATTCAGTGCAATCTCCATCAAATTACCAGAGGCATTTTTCACAGAACTAGAACAAAAAAATTTTTAATTTGTATGGAAACACAAAAGACCCCGAATAGCCAAAGCAATCTTGAGAAAGAAAAACGAAGCTGGAGGAATCAGGCTCCCTGACTTCAGATTATACTACAAAGCTACATTCATCAAAACAGTATGGTACTGGCACAGAAACAGAAATATAGATCAGTGGAACAGGATAGAAAGCCGAGAGATAAACCCATGCGCCTATGGTCACCTAATCTATGACAAAGGAGGCAAGAATATACAATGGAGAAGAGACAGCCTCTTCAATAAGTGGTGCTGGGAAAACTGGACAGCTACATGTAGAAGAATGAAATTAGAACATTTCTCTAACATCATATACAAAAATAAATTCAAAATGGATTAAAGACCTAAACATAAGACTGGATACTATAAAACTTCTATGGGAAAACGTGGGCAGAACACTCTTTGACATAAATCACAGCAAGATCTTTTTTGACCCACCTCCTAGAGAAATGCAAATAAAAACAAAAATAAACAAATGGGACCTAATTAAACTTAAAAGCTTTTGCACAGCAAAGGAAACCTTAAACAAAACAAAAAGACAACCTACAGAATGGGAGAAAATATTTGTAAATGATGAGACTGACAAGGGATTAATTTCCAAAATATACAAACAACTGAATAACAAAAAACCAAAGAGCCCAATAAAAAAATGGGCAGAAGATCTAAGTAGACATTTCTCCAAAAAAGACATACAGATGGCCAAAAGGCACATGAAAAGATGGTCAACATCACTAATTATTAGAGAAATGTAAATTAAATCTACACTGAGGTATCACCTCACTCCAGTCAGAATGACCATGAGGAAAAAGTCTACAAATAATAAATGCTGGAGAGGGTGTGGAGAAAAGGGAACCCTCTTGCACTGTTGGTAGGAATGTAAATTGATACAGCCACTATGGAGAACAGTATGGAGGTTCTTTAAAAAACTAAAAATAGTTACCATATGATCCTACAATCCCACTCCTGGACATATATCCAGACAAAACTATAATTCAAAAAGATACATGCACCCCAATGTTCATTGCAGCACTATTTACAACAGTCAAGACATGGAAGCAACCTAAATGTCCATCGACAGATGAATGGATAAAGAAGATACGGTATATATATCACAGGGAGCTATACTCAATATTTTGTAGTAACCTATAAGGAAAAAGAATCTGAAAATAATATATATTCATGTATGTGTATAACTCAATCACTTTGCTGTACACCTGAAACTAACACAACATTGTTAATCAACTATACTTCAATAAAAAAGAGAGAGAAAGGGAAAAAGCTCAAAAAGAAAATATATTTTGTAATAAACCCAGATCTGTTACCAAAATAAATTAATAAAATAACCTTTCAGCATTGAAAAAAAGATATCACTAAAGATATTAAAGCACTTTCATAGTTTAACAGCAAAAAAAAAAGAAAGAAAAAGAAACAAGCAACCAAAAAAGGATATGCTGATTATAAGAGATAGAACTATACAAAGACAAAATAAATGAAAAAGGGTAGACAAAGATATTGCATACAAAAACTAATCAAAACACAGATGGTGTAGTTAAATTAATATCAAATAGAGTAGACTTTAAGTTAAGAAACATTAGAAATAGAGACATTTTATAAGGTCATGAAAGGTAAAGAAAGTCTGACACTGTTTAGGATTAAAGAAGATTAAAGAGACATAACAGCTAAATGTAATAACTGATCCTGGATTGAGAAAAAAAATAACTATAAAGGACATAAAAGTCTATCCACCAAGGAGATGGATAACAATTCTAAATCTGTGTGCACCCAGTTACAGTGCTTAAAAACGTATAAAGCAAAAATTGACAGAAATAAAAGGAGACAAAGATAAATCCACCATCGGAGCAGGCTTGACCACACCTCACTCAGTGGCTGACAGAATAAGCAAACCAAAAAGATGAGTACGGACACAGGAAGTTTCAGCAATACAACTAATAAACTTGGGCTAATTTATATAGAGAGAACACTGCTCTCCAAAACAGTGGGATACAAACTCTTTCAAAGTGCTGATGGAAGATTTAATAAAACTGACCATATACTAGATAATAAAGCAATTCTACATATTTCAAAGGACTAAAAACATTCAGAGCATGTTTTCTGACCATAGCAGAATTCAGTTAAAATTCAATCAATGGAAAGGTACAGGATAAGGCTGTAACTTCTTGTAATAAAGAAAACACAGAAGTACCAACATAAATAAAGATACAGGGACCTGTCAAAAGAACACAGGAAGGGGCTTTAAGGGTCTCCCACTGACCAAATCTGGGACAATTTAGGCATCAAAACATAGTAATAGTTTATAATCCACTGGATAAAAATAAGAACACAGGAGTCCATAGCGTAGTAAATGAATGAATGAATAAATGGGAAAAAAGAAAAAGTCTACTTTAGAGTGACAACTAATAAAATTAGAAGAAACGATGGAGTTGGAAAATCACCATTTTGTATCCATAATGGTATATAGCTTTATTAACAATCAAAAATTGCCAATTAAAATTAAATTACCATGATCTTAGAGCCTTAAAGGACTAAAAATTATCTTTATTCTCACTTCAAGAGTTAGAAGAGGGCCTCCTTGGTGGTGCATTGGTTAAAAATCCACCTGCCGATGCAGGGGACATGGGTCTGATCCTTGGTCCAGGAAGATCCCACATGCCACGGAGCAACTAAGCCTGTGTGCCACAACTACTGAGCCTGTGCTCTAGAGCCTGCAAGCCACAACTACTGAGCCCACGTGCTGCAACTACTGAAGCCCGCACTCCTAGAGCCCATGCTCTGCAACAAGAGAAGCCACTGCAATAAGAAGCCCGCGCACCGCAACCAAGAGTAGCTCCCACTCGCCGCAAATAGAGAAAGCCCACATGCAGCAACAAAGACCCAACGCAGCCAAAAATAAATAAATTAAATAAAATAATTTTTTAAAAAAATTTTTAAAAAGTTAGAAAAATTAACAAGTATTCAAACTAGCAAAAGAAATGTAGACACATTAAAAATATATATACTTCAACATAACCAGGCTGGCACCTCAACCTTGGACTCCCCAGTTCCCAGAGCTGTGAGATACAAATGTCCGTTGTCTATACATACAAACACACACACACACATACACACACACACACACACACACACACACGCTTAAACACGGTGAACTGATTTAAAACAGAAAGTGAGCTCTATATTCCATTTTCCACTGAAATAGATCTGAAACTCTTACCTGGGCACAACAAATGAAAGCAATGGAAAGTGTCAGTAGGAAGACAGAAGACACAACCACATCCACTGATCGCTGCGGGCCCCGTCTCTGTGGAGTGAGATGCATAGGTTAGTGTTTTAGGTCACTGCCGGAGACGGCAACAGCCCTCACATCATTTACACTCCCAATCTTACTATATTGGCGTGAAAATGAACATTTATAAGACGTTTCTGACACAGGGTTTTAATATATTTGGGACATATTTGACTTTAATTAAGCTCTGAGATCCATGCCATTCAAATTAAGGGTGTGATTGATTCATGAACATATTTTCAGCTGGAATACTCCCCCCAAAAGTCAGAAAAAGATGAGACATTCAATTTATCACTCTGCCCTAGGAATTTAAATTTTCTTTTCCCTTTCTGAGGTCTTATTTACTTAGCTCTACCAGCTCTGCAGATAGATCACTCCCAACCTGGTGTCCAGCAAGTCTGTCAGCCACTGATATCTGTCCAGTACATAGAACTACCCTGCCTACTGAGTATCTGCCACCAGAAATTTCAGTGAGCATGTTTTCTGAGTATTACTGCAGATATTCCATGGTTAGTCAGCTAAAACTCACCTTTAGAAAGGAACGCAGTGATAACCATATCTTAATGTTCTCCACCTTTTTAAGTCTGAAATGAGGTATTTCATATTTCCTAGCTTTCCTGGCAGAAGTAATATGGCTGAAGAGTTTTGCAAATAAAAATCTCTAGAGGAGGTTAAAAAAAAAAAAAACACAAAGTGAAACGTACACATGTGTCACTGTGTGTATATTTACATAATTGTAAACAATATTCCCAGCATATAAAAAATATTAAAAGGATCAAGTTCTAATCAGTGGTCACTAAGACAGGCAGTGAAAAAACATTGTTATTAGCTCATTAACCTGTCGCTTGCAAAGCACATTGTGTAGTAATATACTTCTTCACAACATGCTACACTCTTGACATTTTCAAGGAATATACCTTGGAGACCTTTGTGAATCCCCACCTTTACAAACTCAAATGTTTATACAAAATTCTAGCTTACTCCCAAATTACATTTCCATCGAAAACCACATTTTTTGCACATATCACCAATACATTAAGCCCTCAATCCCAAACTCTTATCAAAATTCAGTAAGTTTATTTCTCACTTGGCCATTTTTCACAGAAGCATTTTCACTTTGGTAATTACTACATATGCTACATATACAAAACATCAAGGGCACACTGAGGTGCAGGTGCTAAGCAATCAGCTAGGCTCACTCACTGGCTCAGCCACTTTACTCCTGCAAGTAGGCTCAGCAAAATTTCAGATTACAGCATGTCATTTGTGAATAATCAGTATCACAAGCGTTAAACCCACAAATACCAAAAGTTCACTTATCAAGCCTCCACTGCCCACGTTAACTTCTGGAGAGAGAACAAATCAGGGGAACAAAAGCAACTCAACAGAATACCATATACAAAAGCAGAGGTAAGAAATTTTACTTAATTGCCTACCGACCTGTTTGTATGTTCTCTCCGCCACACACATCATGAAAAAAAACATCCAAGTAAGACACAGTCGCTCAAAAAAATTAATTATAGACAGGATAATAATAGGTGCAACAGGTGGTGCCCCACAAAAGAGAGTCAAGATCTCCTCAGCTGAGATGGACTTTAGCTGGTCAAGGCTCTTCTCTCGGAACAGTCGATGTAAAAAAGGGAAAAATGCTAATCCGATGGTGACGACATTTCCCAGCATCTGATAACCTACTCCTTGCTGATACGCATTAACCTGGGAATTAATTTAAAATATCCATCATTACTGCACAGCTAAATGGAGTTGTGAAGCAGTATTTATCAAATACTATTTAGATTATTAAAAACTAAATCTGTTTTAAATCTAAAAGAAATACAAATAAAAATGATGTACAGATTTATGACTTTTAGGCTTGAAAGAGATAAGGAATATTTGTAGAGTCTACCTGAACAATTGATCACGCTCACAGAGACCTCTGTAACAAATAAAAAAATATACTACCTAGTGAAGACTGACTACAAAATTTAAGATACACATACTTGTGTTTCAAAAGCAGAGTCAACGTTTTGATCATTAAATACATTCTATGAAATAGCTGCTGATCATTAAATAGATCTTTCCAAACATCCAAAAACGTATTAAACCTTACCCTGCTCATGATGATACCACTTATTTCCAACACAGACATATCCATCTTTTTGCACTCATTCCCTTCCCAGATTATTGCACTAACTCGATCAGAGGCAGGACTTGAGTTCTGAAGCCAGAATAAATGGTTCTGAGAAGAAAAAATAAATATTTCCATCCACTCCTTCTTTATTTCCTCCATTATTTTTTTTTTCCCTTTGTCTAGCTCCCGGGCCACATTTGCCAGGGTTCAGCCTTGTCATCCTATTCTCCCCCTCACAAAACTCATCACTCCAATTACCACCTCCATGATGCTGGTTTCTGGTTTGTTTGTTTTTTTCACGAAAAACAATTTCTTACCTGGAGAGAGGCTAAGTGTCTCCTATAATGATGGGAGGTAGGATTACATGATCTCCAAGGCTGCTTCCCTACTAAATGTATGGAAGTGAGGATAAGCTGGGTGTATTAATGGAATATCAAGAAGGAAAGCATTTCTACAGCATCATGACTAGACCAGGGATAGTAGGAAGTTACACGGGAGAGGTACTAACAGGCCTTAACATCACAGGAATGACTGAGAAGGTAAACCTTTCTCTGGTCTAATCAGGACACAGAAAAGCATAGTAAGCTCAAGAGGAAAAGGTCGAGATAGAAACAGCCCCGTATTTTCCTCTGCCGTATCATGTCTTATTCTTCGAGTACCAACTCAAGTCCCATTTCACCAACATGTCCTCTCTGATGGCCACAAGCCTCACTCATGTTACCTTTCTCTGAAATTAAAAACCCTTACAGTCTATATCAGATAAATTTGCATCTAATTATATGCTGCTTTTATTGTGTCCCATAAAATCATCTTGTTCCCAAATATATAAGTTACTAAAAAACAACCATCTGGTGTATTTCTTCTCCTTCTACAATAATGCTTAGCATAATGCTGATGCACATTTATGGATTTATTAATTGATTTAGCCAAAAAAATATTTATTAAGCAGCTACTATGTAACATGTACTATGGATATAATAAAGAACAAGACAGATGTAGTCCTTGACATCACAGAGCATACAGACTTATGGAGACATGATTAAATAAAGTTACTGTGCAGCATGATAAGGGAAGGAAAGAATGCTAAAGGAGCATATAGAAAAGGCTTCCTAAGGGAGTATCACTCAAGCCAAGACCCGAAAAGTAAAAAAGAGTGAGACGAAGGAATAGGTATTGGAGAAAAGTGTGTTCCAGGCAAATAAACCAGTTTGTGTAAAGATCCAGAAGTACATGAGGAAACTGAAAGAAGTTTAGTTGAGTTAAACTATACCATGCAAGACTGTTATCAGAGCAAATAAAGGAACAGAAAGAAATAATCCAGAATGGAAAAAAAAAAAAAGCAATTAAAGGACTGTAAGGGGAATGGCATCAGATTTGTATTTTAGAAGGATCATCCTGGCTGCAGTGTGGAAAATGAAACGAAGCAGAGCAAGCCTAGAGAAGCTGTTGTAAGGATCCAGACGAGGGCTGATGGTGGTCTGCACCAAGCAGTGTGGACACAGGTGGGCAGATGTATGTATTATACAGCAGAATCAAGACAATGTGATGACTGATTGGAAACATGGGGGGCGGGGTCAAGAATGGCACCAAGGTTTCTAACTTGGGTGGTTAGGGGTGACATTTAGAAATATGGGGAATAAAAGAAGAATAGGTTAGGTGGGAAAATTGGGAAATGATGAATTCCCTTTAACACAGTGAGTTTCATCATACCTAGTTATTCTTACATATGCCTTAAAATTATCCTATAAATCCCAAAAGTGCAAAGGAGGTGAAAATCATCACGATGCTATTCATAGTTACCAAGGGCTAAGGTAATTTAGATGAGTCTTCAGACTGAATGCAAAGAATATTTAAATACAAACTTTGATAGCAAAATTGGAGGAAAAAGCTTAAAACTTTAATTATAAAATGTATGTTGTTTCTAGTTAGTTTTTGAAAACTGTATACATTTAATGAAGCAGAATTTTTTTCATTAAAATGTGTAACCTAAATCAATGGTATCTTAGAATCAAGAAAAGTCAATAATTAAACAAATGAATATCCATCACCCACTATTTATTAAGTCATTGTGGAACTATTTAGCCTAAAAAAAATAAAACTAAGAAGAATCATGATCGTTGGCATTAAACATAGGAAAGGCTGATATAAGAACCGTTTCTTAATCATTTAATCTATCCAGCAGTGGAAAAAGCTCATGAAATAACCATCACTCCAGCTCCACAAGTATTTAAGCAGAGCCTGATTGTCTGATGTGGATAGTAATAAACATGCCAACATGATAACACCAAGCATTGTGCTAAGCACTTTGTATTATCTCATTAGATATATCACAATACTTCTAAGAAGTAGGAACTATTGTTCCTACATAAAAAAAATGATTAGTAAAAAATTTCTAAAGCAGAGTCCAAAAAATTTCTAGTAAAAAAATTTCTGCAGATGTAGAATGAATTCCTATATTGATTGTAAGGTTGAAATCACCTTCTAAAGAATCCCCATTTCCAGGCTATCTGATTTTATGATATTAACAGAAAAACTAAAATTAAAAGCATCACTTGCTTTATACATTATTAGAGAAGCAAGCAATGCCATCTCATAGTAATTCATATATAATACTGTTATGTCTATGAAAATATAATATCAGGTTACTGCCCCAAACAATGTACCCTGCTCGTATAAAATGAACATTAAGGATCATTCTAAGGAAAATAATGAGAAAAAGGCCTAGGAAGAAACATTTAGGCTAGGGGAATTCAAGAGTGCTTCCCCCTTAGTTCTAATTCCAATATCTTCACTTACAAACTATGCTCAATTTCCTCATCTCTAAATCAGGGATAATAATAGTGTCCACCTTACAGGGTTATTGTAGAGTTAAATGAGATAATACAGTGCCTGGCACATGGTAAGTACACAGTAAACATCAGCTATTATTATCATCACCTTTACAGACCTGCTGAAAAACATCCTCTTTGGGGTCACGTTTGGTCCCTGAGTGAAGGGAGTTCACGTGGGCCCCCTCACTGTCGCTGGTGACAGACGACCGGCACTCAGGGCCGTGCAGCAGGTCATCCCATAACATATCCTCTGTCTCCGAGTCATGACGGGTGCTCTCCGAGTCTCTTCTCAACATGTTGAGGCTTCGAGAGCCACCACTCATGCCAGATCTACAGCCCTTTAAGGGAAAACAAAAACAAATTATTTTTTATATTCCTTTTTAAAAACAACTATATAAAATTTCTGTTGTTTAAGCTACCCAGCCTGGGGTATTCTGTTACGGCAACCTGAGTGGATAAACCCATCTATCTACAAGGATTTTTCTGAATTGCTTTTAATAATGAAAAACTGGAAACAAATTAAGTAGTCATAATTTTACACATTTTAATAAATTCCTTCATAAACTGGAATATTCTGCAGATGTTCAACAGAATGAAGTATTGTCTTATGTACTGATAAGGCAAAGCCCTACAAGATAAAAAAAAAAAAAACTCAGAACAAATTTTCCTATTTATGTTTTTTAAATGATATATGTTTAAATATATAGTATGCTCTCTTACGCAAAGGAAAATAAATATGTGGAACTATAACCACCCTCTGGACAGCATGGATTCAATCTGGGGATGTGGGGAACAGTGAGGGACTCATTATACTGGGAAGGGAGGCAGTAAGTGGAAATGGTTGCTTTTTACTAAATATACTTCTTCATTTGAATTTTTATAACATCCTTACATTAATTTTATAACTACAAAATCTGTAAAGCCTTAAAATTTTTTAAAAAATGAAGTGACAGTTTTTGGGTCATGAAATTAATTTTTTTTTTTTTTTAGTTTTTTTCATTGTGATTTCTGTGTTTTAGATGAATATGTTCTTATTTTAAGTTTTTGAAATACAGCGTTCTTAAATATGTGTGCATAAGTTTATAGGTTGATAAATTTTTCACAACTGAAACATGTCTGTGTAATCAACACCAAAACCAATGAACAAAGCATTACTAGCTCTCCTGCCCCTATTTCTGTGCTATTCCCTTTCAAGGAAAACAACCATTATGACTACTAAGAGCATAGATTAACTTCAATTTTGTACTTTGTTAGAGGTGAAATCTGAAAATAGCTATTTTTTATGTTTGACTACTTTTACAACATTATATTCCTGAAATTCATCCATATTGTTGCAGTGAAAGGTATTTTATAATAAATGTTTACCTGTATTTCAAAAACAAAACAAAACAACTATATATCTGAAATAAAATGAAAACAAGTTACCTATGGTGATGGCTGGCAAGCTTTCACACACCGATCACTATGTTGACAAGGCTTCACACAACAATAATACATTTTCATGGTTAAATGTGAAACTCTGATGACTCTCTAACAGACTATCAGAGAGGACTCCCTCTGAGAAGTTATTGCCAAGTCATGGGGTTGTTCAAGTGAGGTGCCCTGGGATGGGGTGACTCCTGCAAGCACATCCAGAGGGCCCACTCTGGGTGCAGGTGTGGCTGGGCCTCTACTGACACACCCAAGTGTCCTCTACTCTAAATGTTGTGAGCTTGACTGTAGACCTAGTCACGTCCAGGGCCCAGCCAAACAGGGAAAAGGGTAATCAGGCTGAGAAAAGGATGGACATTGCAGCTCTCCTGTGGTACAAACATAGATATGAAAGTTTTTCCACAACCCCAGCTGCCTTGTCAATCAAAACAAAAGCCACCACCATCTACTCTCCTCACCTCTGAATTATAATGTCCCAAATGTACAATATTCCCATTAGCTTTCATGATGAGATTTACTGCTCCCATCTCTCAGGGGTCCTTTCTCAAATATCTGTCCCCATCAGCATCAATACCACTTACAAAGGAACGATGCTTAAGAATAAACTGCATATTCCAAGTGAATATTAAGTAGCCTTCTCATCATCTAGGGATTGAGGAGTCTTTCTCTGGGCATAATCTATGATACTTTTAAGATTAGATCAAAGACAAAGAGCTCGTTCTCTTTCTTGGGGTGAGCAGTCATATAAAAGCTTCTAGATAGGTAGACACATAGTTGGAGGCAGGGGAGGGGCAGGCAAATATACACACAACTTTAGGACAACCAATAAAAAAAGGAATGGATACAGTTATTACACTCAAGAATACGCCTTGAAAAAGGATATGTTACCTGACTGAAGCCTGCCGATTCAAACTCTGATTCAGCCAGACTATCTGAATCCCGCACAACAGGACACCACTTGGAAGTGGTCTTCTTTACCTGCCAACAAACGATAGGAAAACATGTTAAATACCTTGTGACTTGGGAGTTAATGCCTATACTTTTATAAGCTAAAATAAAAATTACCTGAGTGTTTAGGTGCCTTGAAAGTATTGATTTCCTATTCTTAACTTCACAGCCGTTGTCACTTGAGGCCCCTTCCACGCTCCTCCGCAGTGTCATCATCTGTGTCCGGGCTTCACCATCATCCTCACTTGACAGATCATCTGAAATCCCATTGCCCAAACGCCCAAATGGCTCCTACAAAGAGAACAGCAGTTTCCTCACAGGGGACAGCCCAAAATACTCCAGTTAGCCTATGTATAAAAACTAAGAAGCAGTAAAAGTAAACTAAACCAAAACTGAACAAACCTACCTATTAGTTGGTCTCAATAAAGAAAAATATTAAACTTTCTTGAAACTAAATAGCTTAAATGATGAGGCAGTATTATGTAGAGGTTAGAAGCACAGGCTTGAGTCAAACTCAAGTCTGAATCACAGCTCTTCTACTTATTAGCTATGGAACTGTAGGTAAATAATTAAATCTCTCTGGGCCTCAATTTCCTCATCTGAAAAGCGATGATAATAAAAGCACCTATCTCACAGAGCTGTTGAAACAATTAAGTGAGTCACTACTTCTAAAGCACTTAGAATAGTGCTTGGTTGCAGTAATGGCTCAAAAAGATTAGCTTTTTCTAATTCATAAATGCCAGTCTAACAAATAAGAAAATATTTCAAGACTATAAAGTAAGAGTGTAATTAGTTTTAGACATAAAGCAGGACGCCTATACCTAAACCTGGAAAATAGTTTCCCAAACCTCAACACACTATCACCACCTCTCTGGAAGACGACACAGCAGCCTCCACACTAATCTGTTTATTGAATCTACCAGTCTCCTACTAAGGCTGGACCAGGGGCAGATGCAATAGCAAGTTCTGGTCCTAGAAGTTAGAAGAATAAGGTACAGTCTTCACGTTATTCTTCATGATGTTCTCCTTTTCACATCCTGTAGTTTTACATTTCAAATGACACAAATCTATTAGTACCTATTTTGTGTTTCTAGCAGAGTCCAAGAATAGAAAAATTTTACACAGGAAAGAAAAGACCTTGTAATATTTACTCTCATCTAAATCTTACCCTGCATCCCTTTTCTCCATCTGAAAATTTTGCTTTCTCTCTTGTTTGCCACATTCTCATCTCTGGTCGACACTGTCTCTTCTTGATGATAGGATGCAGACAACCTGAGTCATTGTCAGTCTCTGTCCCTTTGCTACATATTAATTTTACTCTTTTCATCCTATTTTTTAAAAAGGAAAAAAAAGATTACTAGTTAGTTTTTTGAAAGTAATATCTTTCGTGAAGTCACTTTCTTCTGAGGAGTACAATATATTATTCTGGAAATCAAGAAGATTCAGAAATTGTATGTTTCAGGCTTCTAGCTTGCCTAAGGGCGTAGGAAGCCAGTTCTCTCTCTAGTCTCCAAAGACTTGGGTCAGTTAGCTGAGAGGAAGCCTGTTCTTTTCGATTTTGCAAGGAAGTGGGTCCACAGTCTTCCCTCTCAAACGCAGTGCCAACCCCGCCCTCACATTGCCTGTTTGTGTCACTTCATAGAATGTCTTCCCCTCTCCTGTGCTTCAAAGCCCAGCAACTCTCAGCTCCTCCCTGACTCCTGCTGACTACTCCACCCCAGAATACTCACTCCTTCTGCTGAACTGCATGGCCTTTAGTCAGCATGATATCATTTATGATATTTTTACATTGTTGTGACTGTACCATACCTGCTACTCTTACCTTCCTAATTAGATGGTAAAATAACTGAGAAGAGGAATGCCCAGTGCCCAGCACAACGTTCAGCACAAAGAACTCAAACGCTTCAACTAAAGAGTGTCAACTTATCTTTAGAAAAATATGTGAACATACTTCGTCTTCAAAAACAAAGCTGCAAAAGCACTTGACTTTTGAGTCACAAACATTAACATATGATAAAATAAGCATTTCTTCGAGTCATACTAGCGCTGCTACAACCTACAAAATCATGAAGGAGGTCGAATGTGTCTTGGACTCATTTCCCTTTCTGTCCTACAGCCCATCAACACCAGCCTCCTGTCCTGCACCCCACATCTAAGGAGGAATCAGCTCTCATACTGAAAAATACCTCATCTTTTAAAATTTCTTCATTCTCTCAAGATGTTGGCCAATATGACTTAAAATATTTACCCTTCAAGAGCATTTATATTTCCATAATCTTGTGGTCTAAAAAGCCATTAAAGATCAAACAGAATGACAGTTTTATGGTAGATTACTGGACTAATGGGTAACATGACAGACAGTGGTGCCATTTCAAATAAGCAAATCATTCCAGAACCTTTAAAAATCTCACCACAGGGCTTCCCTGGTGGCGCAGTGGTTGAGAGTCCGCCTGCCAATGCAGGGGACACGGGTTCGTGCCCCGGACCGGGAGGATCCCACATGCTGCGGAGCGGCGGGGCCCGTGAGCCATGGCCGCTGAGCCTGCACGTCCAGAGCCTGTGCTCCGCAACGGGAGAGGCTGCCACAGTGAGAGGCCCGCGTACCGCAAAAAAAAAAAAAAAAAAAAAAAAAAAAAAAAAAAAAAAAAAAAAAAAAAAAAAAATCTCACCACAATGATAATATGCTTACACTGTGTATTCCTAAAACCTAATCAGATTATATACTATGTAAACACTGATGTGAACACAAAATCAAGTAAAAATTCCAATGTAAGACTTCCCACCTGTTGCCAAAGAGAGTCCCCCAAAAACCACCATTAAAGGGTGCAGATTCCAAAGTTTCTGTTCCTCTGGCTTTATCAGAGGAGTTATTTCCATTTTCTCGGCTCCCATCACCATTTACAGTTTTTCGTAATTTTCTACAAAAAAAAATATTTCAACAACTTTAGATTATTCAGGACCTTTTCTGTTTCTACTCAGAATATCCCTACTGACTACTACCTGAAATTAAGTAAAATAAACTTCGTATAATGAGGATAAATTAGACAGGAACATTTCTGACTTAAGGGCAAAAACAGGTTCCAGAACAAAGTGCTAAGTTACCATTTTGTTCATTCATTAAATAAATAGAAATGCCATTCAAAAACATAACTAGAAGGAAAATTTTCATATGTATGACCAATAGTCTTTTCAGGAGCCACAGAAAGCATGAACAATTTCTTTAAATATGGATGCCAGAAATCTACCCATTTGGCACATTTAATCATGGGAACACAAAATAATAGCAAGTGATCAATTTTTTGATATTCTATGCAGTGAAAAGATATATCCTGTAAATACCAATGAGACACAGAACAATATTTGATTTCCTTAGAAAACATTAAATCAATTAAACTGAATTTTCAAGGAATATTCTTTCCTGGAAAAAAAAAGTTTTGAAAATAACATTCAAAAATAAGTATAAATATGTTGAAATTCTTTGCACCAAATGAAAAAATCTTATATAGTAACTCCTTGGGGGAACAAAAATCTACAGATACTCTGAGAAAGATGACTTTTGTAAGATAATACCATGTATATCTAAGAAACCTTTAACAGTTCCAAACCCCACAAACGGCACATAATCAATAAAGACTAGACATGAATTCAATGTGTAGAAAAGTTAAACCTTTATTAAAAGTTTAGAACACTTAGAAAGCCATTCTTTTTGTATACTATTGAAAAAAGGTAAAAATTTTAGTAGCACTAACCTAATGTACTAAGATCCTTGTTTATAGTGAATTTTCACCACATTTTGAGACTGAATTATGAAGAAGAATGTTTTTCATTCAAATCATTATTTAAGGTAAATTTTGACAAGGAATCATACAGTGTAGGAATTTTCCTTTTAAACAACGGTACTGAATGACAAACCCCCATCCCCCTTGGATTAAAAGTTCATGACAAGGTTTCTAAGCATCAGGGAGAAAAGTAAAAGTAAAGCATTTGGTGTTTTTTTTTTTTTAAGCCAAAAAAATAATGAAAAATATATGCAAAAGAGGAAGATTTTGTATTAATTTACTCAAAGATTTTGCTCTCCAATGCCTCTCCCAGAAAATACACAACCGAAAGTGTAATTTCCCATCTCACCTTCTTCTCCGACTTCCATTGTTTCCCGATGGCCTTGTCATCTGGGTAGACACAATTTGACAGTGGACAGTTCCCATGAGTAACATAAGGCACAAGGGTCCAAGTACTTCACTTACATTCATGATAGGCATCATAAAATAGAACACGAGTGCTATAACTGAAAAGAAGAGATTTCAAAGTGGAAAGCATTAGGGCTTATCTTTAAAACCAATTCTAATAACTCTACAGATTATTTCTCCAAAAATCTATCATTTAAAGAAGTATACAAGTGAAAGCGCATAATTTTCTACAATACAATCCACCTGCACATTAGCTGAGTGAAAACCTGAAGCCCTAGATCACAGAGCAAGTGAAGAATGATGTGTCCAAAGGATCTGCCTTTCTGGAAATATGACAATCTAGATATTCTGAAAGACTTTCCAGCACAAAACAACTAGATACTGTATAACCCTCTGCAGTACTGCTCTGCTCAGAGACCCAGTGTTCTCCAGGGCCCAGAGTTATATGTAGCAATTAACAGAGCTGGGATTTGGACCAAGGCAGCCAGGTTCCAGAATCCTTATTCTTTTTTTTTTTTTTTTGGCTGAGGTGTGGCATGCAGGATATTAGTTCCCCGACCAGGGATGGAACCCATGCCCCTTGCAGTGGAAGCATGGAGCCCTAACCACTGGACTGCCAGGGAAGTCCCAGAGTCCTTACTCTTAACTGCCATGCTACGTTGCCTCTTTGTATGTGAGTATGAAATGTCCAAAGAAAAAAGTAATGAAAGAAACAGAAAGATATCACAAATTATCTCCCAAAACTTCCAGATACAATTTTACAGATTCGTTCTTTCAGACTTTGACATAAAGATAATTCTTGTGCTATACAAACTTTTCTATGTGGAGAAAAATTAATTCCATTCCCTAATACCCTGATACCCAAACATAACAACAATAGCACCAAAACAATAAACTATAGACCTTGCTGACTTGTGAACATGGATATAAATTTACCTCTAAAAAGTAACACCATGAAAGCAGGGATTTCTGTCTATTTTGTTCACTGCTGTACCTAGATCAGTACCTGGCACATAGTAAGCACTCAATATTTGTTGAATGAATGACTGAAATACTATCAAAGTAAATTTGACAATACAGCAAAAGAATAATTCACCAAGATCATATAGGGTTTATGCTAGTAGGATAGTAGGAATCTTTCTCAGAGCCTAGAAGAGTACCTGGCACAGACATGTTAGGCACTAAAGGAATTGTTGACTGAGACTTAACTGATGTAATTTAATAACTTAATATGATGTAGTTTTGATCGCATGCATATGCATCATCTCAATTGCCAATTGTGTAAAAGGTCTGTGTCCCTGATTCCTGGGAGGTAACCCTAAACCCTTGGAATTTTCCAAATTATGAAGTATCTTTGTTATCCATGGTGGGTCCCTTGGACCACAGAGGACAGTTTATGCCAATAAAATGACTAACGATAGGAGTAGCCACACCAGAAAGACCAACTATGGAATTAGAGGGCTGGGGCTTTGAGCCACACTGTATCAGCCTGACCTTTGGGGAGGGAATGGGAGCTAAAGACTGAGTTTAACTCCTTGGCCAGTGACTCAATCAAACATGCCTACATAATAAACCCTCAATAAAAACTCTGGATACCAAAGCTTGGGTGAGCGTCTCTGGTTGGCAATACCTTGTGCATACTGCTATCCATCATGGATGGAAGGGTAACACATCCCTGAGGGCGACAAAAACTTCCTGATTGAAGACCTCGCAGACTTTGCCCTATGCACCCCTTCTAATTTGTATCCTTCTGCTACAATAAAACTGTAACGACAGCACTTTCCTGAGTGCTTTGAGTCATTCTAGTGAATTATTAAGTCTGAGGGAGTGAGTGGCAGACTCTCAAAACTGTAGCCAGCTGGTCAGAGTAAGGGTAGCCCTAGGGACTCCCAAAGTAAGGCTGGTGTCTTGGGAAGGGCTGTGCCTTTAACCTGTGAAGTCTGGTCCAACTCTAGTAGTGAAAAAGCATTCTATAAAAATAGACATTTGTCCCTGATTTGTAATTCTTAAATGCCCATCTTTTCTAAAATACTAGGAATATAAAAATATGTCCTTAACATGCTAAAGAATATAAGTAAGTAGTGCTTGCTTTGGCAGCACATATACTAAAGAATATATAAGTAAAATCAACATGCATCATATTAATGAAAACATTCTGAATAGGAACAAAACATTATGATCACTCTTACTGTTATCACTTAACACTGCTCTGAAAATGTTGACTAATTCAATACAAGTAAATGAAATGTATGAAAAAAGAGGAGATCAAGTTTTCATTATGCCAACAATATGGTTGTATAATTAGAAAATCTGAGAGAAGCACCGAAAAATTATTAGAAATAATGAGAGTTTAAAAAGTGGCTGGTTATAACCATCTTAAGTATAAACTAAAGGCTTTCAAATGTTAACAGCAGTCACCAGTTAAAACACATAAAACAAACAAAAAAAGCCTCATACCTACAGCAGCAGCAACAAAAATAAAAACATAAAATATTTTTCTTTAATGTGGAAGCCCCCAAGCATCCTCTGATGGATGATACATATAAACAAAATGTGGTATATACATACAGCTGATTATTATTCATCCTCAAACAGGAAGGAAATTCTGACACATGCTACAAATGGATGAATCTTGAAGACATTATGCTAAGTGAAATAAGGACAAATACTGTATGATTCCACTTATATGAGGTACTCAGAGTGGTCAAATTCATAGAGACAGGAAGTAGAAGAGTGGTTGGCTGGGGGTAGGAGTAATTGGCGAGTTATTGATTTATGGGTAGAGTTTCAGATTGGAAAAATGAAAGAAGTTCTGGAGATAGATGGTGGTGATGGCTACCTAACAATGTGAATGTACTTAATGTCACTGAACTGTATACTTAAAAATAGTTAAGATGGTAAATTTCATGTATATTTTACCACAATGAAAAAAATAATTGAGCTTAACAAGATCTATGCAGGCCTTATAAGAAAAAAAAATTCCTACAAAGCTTTACAGAAAGATATAACAGAAGACTTGATTAAAAGGAGAGATATATCAGGCTTCCCTGGTAGTGCAGTGGTTAAGAATCCGCCTGCCAATGCAGAGGACACGGGTTCGAGCCCTGGTCCAGGAAGATCCCACATGTCGCGGAGCAACTAAGCCCGTGCGCCACAACTACTGAGTCTGCACTCTAGAGCCCGCAAACCACAACTACTGAGCCCGCGTGCTACAACTACTGCAGCCCATGCACCTAGAGCCCCTGCTCCACAAGAGAAGCCACCGCAATGAGAAGCCCGCGCATCGCAACAAAGGGTAGCTCCCACTCACCGCAACTAGAGAAAGCCCGTGCGCAGCAAAGACACAGTGCAGCCAAAAATAAATAAATAAAATTAATTAATTAATTAAAAAGGAAAGATATATCAATTTTCTCCCCATTCCCTCCAAATATATCTATATCTATATTTTGTAGTGGGGAGTGGTGAGAAAGGAGTTCCAATCCAAATTCCAATTTTTTTTTTTATCTTTGATCATGATAAAATAATTCTAAATTATTTTGCAAAGAATAAGCAAGTAAGAACACTTAACAGAAAATGTTGAAAAACACAGAATAATAGAGGAATACTTGTCCTGCTCAACATTACTACACATTAAATAGCTACAGTAATTAAAGAAATGTGACACAGATATGAGAATAACCAGACAAACTGATGGTGCAGAATATATAGTCCAGAAATAGACCATGGTGTATACGAAAATTTAATATATATAATTTATCTCAGTAAGAAAGAAATTCTTTAATAACAAACATGTGGAAAAATATTTAACTTCACCCTTACAAGTGACCAAAGAAATGCACATTAAACAAGTAAAATACTAATTTTCATATATCAATTTAGGTAACAATTTTTAAAATTATGATAATGCTAAGATTGTGGTAAAACAGAATCCACTACTTTCCAAAAGAATTGTGTCACCAGCAATTTCACTATATGCACTAAAAGCCTTAAAACGTTTACATTCTTTGATCTGTTAATTCTATTCCAGAGAATAAATTCCAAAGAAATAATACAAAATATGAAAAATTTTGTTCATGATGGTATTATTAATAAGAAAGAACTAGAAACAACTTAATGCTCATTACATGGGAAGAGTTATGTAAATTATGGTACTTTTATATAATGGACTATAAAGCAGTTATAAAAAGTGTTTATGTTAAATCCTTATGATAGACTCATACAGACATTAAAATGATAGTTTGAAATGATGGCGTGTCCACATGATGTAATATTATGCAGCAACTAAATGACAGTTATGAAAACAATTCAAAAACACTGACACGGATAAAAGAAAACAAAAATCACCCCAAATCCTTTCCCCCTAACCCAACCTTCACCTTTCACCTACATTGTTCTAAGTCACGCCTGTTTGCTCAGGTATAACCATATCTATGCTGCCCTCTTTCAGAAAGTGTTCCTGGTAGGCAATGGAGTATATTAAAGAGCATACACTGGGCCCCTGCACATAGTGAGAAGAGAAAAAACATCAGGTAGTGACGTGTAATACAGAAATTAACACAGACTCCTGTGACAGTGACTGAGGGGTAGTACAACTACTTAGAAAGTATAGACAGGGATGGCCTTTCTGTGAAAGTTACATCTGAGCACAGATCCTAAAGATGACAGAAAAGATAGCCACATGAAAAGCCTTACGATTGTTTCAAACAGAAAGAAAAGCCCTGGGTGAGGAATAGAAAAAGGCCTTATGCCTAGAGTAAGCAAAGAGGAGAGTGGTAAGACATGGCATCCAACAGGTTAGCAGGGGACAGATAATGTAGGGCACTGGAGGCCCTGGTGAGGAGTTTGGGTTTCTATTCCAAGGGCAATGAGAAGTCACTAAAGGGACTTTTTTAAAAAGGCAAGAAAATGACATGATAGGGTTTCCATTTCAAAAGATTTCTCTAATTGCTGTGAAAAGAGTGATGGGCAGAAAGAAAGCTCAGAGTAGATGCTATTCCAGTGATCTAGGTGAAGGGATGGTGGTGCTGTGGACTATGATGGTGGCAGCAGAGACTGGGATAAGTAGCCAGGACACATTCTGGAGGTCAAACTTACAGACTTGGTGACAGATGGAATATGAGGGTTGATGGTAGAGTAGAATAGGAAGACAATTTTTCGCTTGAAAACTGGGCAGCTGATGGCATCATTTAATGAAATGGGATAAAACCTAAAGGGGAATAAGACTGTATAAAAGAAAAGATTGTAAAAAAAAAAATCAGGAGTTCCATTTTGGATATGATTAAGTTCAAGATACCTATGAAATCTCCATATGGAAATGTCAAACAGGCAGTTGTATTTACAAGCCTGAAGTTCAGCAGAGAGATCTGGCCTGAAAATATAAATTTGAGAATCACCAGTATATCAATTATATTTAAAGGTACAAGCCTTGATGAGAGTACCTAGAGAAGAGAAGAGAATCCTGATCCAACCTAGAGGTAATCCAATATTCAAAGGTCAGACACAGGAAAAGTTTGAAAAGGCCTGGCCAGTGAGACAGGTAGAAAGAAATTCAAGAGAGAAGAGTTAGACTATCATGTTTGCTCTCTCTGAGCAAATAAGTTTGAGATGATCTCCAAATGGTGTATGTCCCTTCGTTTCTTTGTACGTGAAACCATCAAATGAAAGGGTAAATGTTAAGAACAGTAAGGTCTGCGTGATCTGATAGCAACAGTAGCAAAAAGAAACTGTCATAATTTATCCCAACTCCTCCAATTACCTTGCATGAGGTAAAGCAGTAGCAGCCAAACAAAGATTCTTAAAGAGGTAACCTGAATCCACCAATTGCTGAAAAATGGAAAAAATACAACTCGAACAAGCCCCTTCCGAGTCAGAGATGTCCACGGAATTTCAGGTTTGGCTTTGGCAAATGTTGAGCCTTTAAATATACAATAAAACATAACATCAAACATTTATGTACACTAGACTAATGCCCACTTGTAACACTATATTAAAAACAGGTGAGAGCAAAAATCAGCACATAACCTGTTCAGTGAAAAAGAATCCTCTTATAAGGATGTTCATTACATATACTAACTTCTTGCCTCAATCACTAGGACAGGAGCTCAAAATAAGTCAGCCTTGTTTGAATGGTACACAATATATTTTTCTTCATTACACAGCAGCAAGTCTCCAAGTTCATCTCTTTCACCCTCATGGAAACCATGTAATTTACATAGCCACACAGTATAAAGCAAAGGGGAAAAAATGCTAAAGCCTGAATGATGCAGGAAGAACACTACTTTGGGAAATTAAAGTATACCATCATATAGGGAAGATATCCAAAAAGACTCTTTAGTACCACTATGAAATAATATAATGATATACCTAAGAAACAAGCCAACTTTAGAACTCACCTCTGATTAAGTCAACATCAATCAAGTCTGCCTTTATGTGACCCATCTTTTTTGGTTTGTTTTTGAAGCCCTAGAATAAAACAAAACAAAAACCAGAAATAAACAGCATTTTAAAAGCCCTTTTAAAACAAAAGGTAAATTTACACTTCTTTTTCTCTACACCTGACTCCCTTTTACTGAGTACACTTTAATCCTAATGCTCCTTAAAGGAACCTGTCATTAATATTTGTTTTAGTTTTTAGTTTTATCAAGTAATGCATGCACACACTTTTATCACCTTTAAAAATAATCAAACAGTACCAAAAGGTCAGTAAGTGAAAAACAGGTAGTCCCCTGACCCACCTTACCTCTCCTCCCAATTTCATTCATTAAAAACAAATGCTTTAGGCCCGCGTATCGCAAAAAAAAAAACAACAAAAAAAACAAATGCTTTCATCTTTTTTTAGCTGTTTCTCTTGGTATTTACTTACATAGGTCTAAATAATATGTTTATACTGCTATTTTTCAATTTATTGATTTTAAAAATCACCTATGGGGCTTTCCTGGTGGCGCAGTGGTTGAGAATCTGCCTGCTAATGCAGGGGACACGGGTTCGAGCCCTAGTCTGGGAGGATCCCACATGCCGCGAGCAACTAGGCCCGTGAGCCACAGCTACTGAGCCTGCGCGTCTGGAGCCTGTGCTCCGCAACAAGAGAGGCCGTGACAGTGAGAGGCCCGCGCACCGCAACGAAGAGGGGCCCCCGCTCGCCACAACTGGAGAAAGCCCTCGCACAGAAATGAAGACTCAACACGGCAAAAATAAATTAATTAATTAATAAACTCCTACCCCCAACATCTTCTTTAAAAAAAAAAAAATCACCTATGAACTCCTAATATAGTACATGAGAATTTAGCTTTCTTACACTACTAATTCTCACCTCCTCACTTCCACCCCAAAAACATATATCCTCACAATATAGTCAATTAATTTGTGACAATAATAATAATATTAATAATCAGTAGAGTATGATCACTATGAAATATCATTCCTTGTTCACACTATTTATATGCTTCCTTTTATATGCTTCCTTTTATTCTATGAGGTCAGTGAAAATATTTATCAGTTTCCAAATACTCAAATGCCAGAAAATTAATCAAAGTCCTTTTTTTTCCTTAAAGAAAAAAAATTCCTGGAAACCCCCTTCCCAGGACCCTCTTTCTATCTTGCTGCTGGAATTGGACTAGTTGCTCTCTGGGCCAGTTGCATGGCTGTAATCCCAGAACTGCTCACTCTCATCCTGACAATCCTCTTCCCCCCTCTCTGTGGTAAGTCCTTATTTGCTGTATGAAGGAAGGAGCACATTCCTTCTATAGCTTCCTGAGAAAGGGGTCACAGAAGACAGTGTTTTCAATCCTTGCATGTCTGAAAATGATTTCATTCTACCCTTATACTTGATTAAAAGTTACCCTAGATGCAGAATTCTAAGTTGTTAATAATTTTCCCTCAGGAATTGAGACACTGTTCCATGGTTTTCTAGCTTCCAATGTAGCTGTTGCAAACTCCAATGCCATTCTGATTCCTGATCCTTTGAACGTGAATTGTTTCCTTCCTCTTAATCCTCACTTTATTCATGGTATTCAGAATGATGTGCCTTTTTTTTTTTTTTTTTTTTTTCTTTTTCTCTTGCGTTATGCGGGCCTCTCACTGTTGTGGCCTCTCCCATTTGCGGAGCACAGGCT